TATCTAAAATTTGACATATATGATAATTACATAATTTAACAGTTAAATTAATAAATTAGTTATCTATAAAATTATTAAGCGGAATAAGTTAATAAAACTTACTCTTGGGATAAGTAGATTTTCTTCTTCTTCTACTACTACTACTATTATTATTAAATTTATATTTAATGAAAAAATAAAATGATTAAATATGAACATATAATTTATAAAAAAAGGTAAGGTTATTGTATTAATTTGGAAGTAAAAAGTTGTCAATTTTGAAAATTAACATTACACGATGGCAAAAAAATTGTAATCTTATCAAATTAAAGCTTTCGAGCTTAGTAACTTAAAAAAAAAAAAAACTTTACAAACACATTTAGCAGCTTAATTTTAGTTAAATAAACTAGTTATACTAATATTTAAACTGTCCGATTTTCTTACTAAATCATTACTGAAATTTATATATCAATCAAAATTGATTTGACTTGAGGAGTTGAAATTGTTCCTGTCCTTGTTAAGTTAGAATGCAATGGCATCTCAAAAGGTTCTCTTCATATGATAAGTGGACGTGAAAATATGAGGTCAATAAATATACTTACTAATTACACATCAAAAGATCGATTGGAATAATATGTATACACGATTTATGTAACATGATGAATGAAAACAAATTTTTTTTTTCCCATTAAACCAAATTCGATACTTCTATTGTCTTACAAACGGAGCCTAAGCCCCAAATATTTGACATAGGTCTTACTAGGAACCTACTTATATGAGATCATTTATGGTCAGTACAAACTATGAATCACTTTGACATGCAAAGTAAAACACGACATGAAGGAGAAGATGGTGTAAAGGTGGCGTGGAAGAGAAGCCAAGTAATTAAGGAGAAAAGTGTGTATGGAACCAATAAATAAATAAAGTAGTCTTCAAAGAAAATAGGTCGACAAAAACAAAGGCATAAAGCAAAAATGGATAATATGAAGGGTATTTAATTGGCCTAGATAGAAATGTAACAAAAATGAGAACGATGAAGGCTTCAAGGTCAGAGAGAATGAAATAGAGATTGAATATTAACAATATGCAGATGACACGTTGCAATAGGTGAAATCTAGAAAACTTGTGGACTTGAAAAACTATTTTGAGAAAATTTCAATGTTTTGGATATGATGGTACAAGAGAAACCTTGTTGGCATCATTGTGGAAGGTGATTTCTTAGTAGCTGTATTAAAATTTTTAAGCTGCAAAATTGGTGGAGTTCCTTTTATACCTTAGCCTTCATGTTGGAGCTAATTCAAGAAAGGTGGGAAACATTGGTCATAGACTCGCAGAGATTGTCTTCTTGAAACGTAGGTACTTGTGGTTAAGAGGTTGAATCACTCTAATAAACTTTAGTCTTATACCGTATACTAATCTAATTTTTACTTATCCTTTTCAGGATTTCAAGAATTTTTTTTAATATTTTGAAGACGGCTTGTTTGTTTCTGTTTTAATTTTTAAAAATTAAAACAAATTTAAAAAACTGTTTTTAAAAATATAAAAATAAATTTTTGTTTATTATTTTAATTTTTAAAATGAGAAAATAAAAAAACTTAAAATAAAACACCTTAGAGACTATTTCTGTTTTTTAATTAAAAATAAAAAAATATTTTTTAAAAATTTAGGTTGACAAACAAGTTTTTATTATTTTTTATTTTTAAAAAGAAACAAACAAGCTCTAAGTTTTTTTATAAATTCTTTATTTAGTTTAATTTTTTTTTAAAAATTGTTAATTTTTCTTATAAATTTAATTTTTTATAATAATCATTCTTATCTCAAAGCTATATTCGGTAAAAAATAGTTCACAGCTTATTTAAAAATTTAAAAGTTAATTTGTAACTGAAAATTGTTAAATTAACTTATTAAATCAGAAGCATTTAATAAAAATACTGTTTAATCAAATGATAAATATAAAATAATTTAAAAAATACGTGCACATAATTTTTATATAGTTTTTATTTTGTTGAAAAAAACATATTTTTTATAACTAAAGTTTTAATTTTTTTTATTAATTTTAAAATCTTATTATTAAAAACAAATAATATACATAGTAAAACAATTATAATAAATAATATAACATTAAAGGAGATGATAAATGAAAAAAGCTATTAAAATACTAATGATGATATAAATAAAAATAAGGCTTAAACTGTATGGACTTGTGCCACTTGGAATTGTGTGTTTCCGCGGCATGCTTTTGGGACAGTGTAGAGGGTTGGATTATGCGCAACATGAATAGCCATTTTGCTATTATTAGTCAACGAGAGGCTGTGTTTGGAGATAATTATTGGAATCGCATTAAGGTTCTTATTACATCCCAAGCACCATCTATGATACCCATTAGCTCCTTTTCTCACATATTTAAAGTCATAAATTCACCTTTTCAGATTTTTTTTTTCAATTCCAAGTCTTCGAATATGTTGTAGGATATTTAATTTTAAGAATTTCAAAAAACTAAAATAAAAGAATTTTAAATTCCCCAAAAGACGTTGCTTTGTTGCAATTGAACGATTTCTCTTTGCCGTATATTCATATTTTGTTTTTCTTTAAACCGTGCAAATGAAAATATTGAATATATTTTTATGAGCCTTGCATAAAGAGTAAAATCTATTTTGTTACCAATTTAAATGTAAACAAATTACAAAAACAGGAAAAAAATAAAATAAGAACCATAAGAATTTAAAAGATTAATTATCGTAATGATCTCTCCCTCCTAACACGACAAGATACCACGGATGTCATCCTGACTTGTGTTATCAGGCAATTGTGCCTAGGAAGAGAGAATTTTAAGTTAACCACACTTAATGGCATATTTTTTACTATTAAATAAATTTTATGTGAATTTTATTGAATAAAAAATAAATTTTATATATAATATTAAAATCCTTTCACTAAAGTTATTGCATGGTTTTCAAAAAATAATGATTTAATTTAATTTTTTATGCCTTTCGTTTTAAATACAAGGTTACTTTAACTACAACTTTTGATTTCATTAATTTAAAAAATCACTAATTTTATATAATTATAAGAATTAAAAATTCATTTTCAAATATATTATTTGTCAAATAATTTTTATATATTTATTTATTATGAAATTTATGTTAATATGACTTTCACATATTACTCATATATTCATTCATTTAATACAAATTATTAATTTTTTTTATAAACAAAAACATATTATTAAAAAAAAGGAGTACAAGGGATACTCCAATCCATATATAAATTATTAATTTAGCCATTTAATGCTATAAGTATCTCTTATAAATAAGACTAGATAGTACTTCATCAGAATTAAGAAATATAATTATTTTTATAGACGACATTAAAAATTTTAACAATTTTAATAATTTTATTAAGATTACCCTTAATATTATTGAAACACATTATCTTACTCTCTTTTTATCTATTATTTGTAAAAAGAAATTAATCAATGCAAGCAATAATTTGCAAAAGATCTTATAAAATGAACCATAATAAATTTAATTTTTTTAACTAAATACATATTAATTTTCATTTATTTTATGTATATATTTCTTGACTCTTCATGTTTTCAATTTTTTTTCGTATGTTGAAGAATTTTAATAAATTATAACATGAAAATTTTTGAATTTCTACTTTTAAAAATATTTTTATTTAATTATTTAATTTAATTTCCTTTTGTTTACTTAATTTTAATTTATTCCATGTGTATTTATTGATTTTTCATATTTTCAACTTTTCAATTTTTATTAATTATTTGTAAATTATATTATCTCTTAAATCTTTTATATAAAATATTCAAATTCTTCTTTTATTTTTTACCATGTTGTAAAATATTTATAAATTAGTGAAATCAATAAATTGAAAAAATTAACAAATATTTTTTAAAAAAATATATATGAAAAATTTTGAAATAAATTTTATATCATGTAGAGATAAATTATAAATAAAGCATTAAATTAATTATTATAACTTATACAGTTATACCATGTACTGGATATACATAAATTTTATTTAATTTTAAATTTTAAATGCCATTGCTGTAAATTTTTGTTTTAAATTTCATAAAACATGACGATTTATCAAACTCTATTAAAAGATATTAATGATGAATTGTTCTTTTTACTTTTGATAGGATTCTATCATATTTCTCATTGAAGGCAATTTTACTCTTAAGTACCTCTTTAAATAAAGATTTAAATAATAACTTGACGCTTATAAAGTCTAATCCTTTTCGTTAGAAGTAATTGCATTTGTGATTAGCTATGAAAAATTGTTTATGATTAAACTTAGCTAAATAATAATATCATTAATTTCATCCTTCATTTTGTTTTGTGTAAGTCAACTTCACCGTCACCGATCCCATCCTATTTGTGATCTAAACAGAGAACATTCTAAACAGTGATAATTCAATTGGTCAGCTTAATAAAATATCTCACTTCCATATAGATTATATTGATTAAAATATTTTAAATCCTCAGATACTTTCATTTACATAATAGATTGTTTGGCAAAGACAAATTCTCTTCTACAATCGGTGACGTATAACTGCAATGTTTTTCCCTTTTCTTTTTATCCACTATCCCATTACCTTGACACCAATTGGATATCCCATAAATTTCATTTTAATCAAGTAAAATCACTATTGCTGAATTTTAACGCTATAGCAATTTTGAATACTAGTTAACATAGAATAATTCAGTAACAAATGATCCATGCATATGTTAAGTATTAGAAAATAAAAATAAGTGAATAAAGTATTAATATTATTTTTAAAATTAACTTTAAATTATATTTTAATATAATAAATATTAATGTCAATAATAAAATATTACCTATTTAACATTAATTCTAAAGACCAACGTTTATACTTTTTAGTAAAAGAAAATAAAGCGAAAACTCACCAACTGTAGCCAAATGATCCATACCCAATTATCCACTAACCACAAACTTAATTACATAAAAATCTTCGACTGTTGAGAAAACACAACAGAACCATGTCAAAACATTCCCACGCGCCGCCTCGACCACTCTACAAGCTGCCGTCGTGGTCACCAGACATGGTACGAGACGAGGCGTGGGAGAGGCGGAAGGACAACCACCGGCACCGGTTGAGCAAGAGCCTCTCAGAGGATGACTTGGAAGAATTGAAGGCTTGCATTGAACTCGGGTTTCGGTTCGATTCGCCCGAAATTGACCCGAAGCTGTCAAACACTATCCCTGCTTTAACGTTGTACCACACTGTTAATAAACAGTACAACAATCACAAATTATCTAGGTCTTCCTCTTCATTGTCCCGTGTCTCCGAGAGCAACATTGCAAGCTCCAGCACCATATTCAACCCAGGTACTTCTTTCGTTCAATTTAACTTTTTATAAAATTAAATTTTGTTATTAATTTGATAATGTTGCAATCAGAATTATAATTGTACCCATTGAAACAAATAAATTGTAAAATTAAATATTTTTTTTATTATGTGCTGTCAATTTGATTAAAATTTGGGTGCATGTGAATGTGATTGTTGTGAAGGGGATGATTTGGCTACAAAGAAGACTCGACTGAAACAGTGGGCGCAGGTGGTTGCTTGTGCGGTGCGACAATCTTCTCCCTCTTCGGATTCATAATTCATATCCCTAAGACCAAGTTAATTAATAATAATAGTTTAAATTAAATTGGGCAGTTATTTGTTTATAGAGTCTTCAGTGGTATCTTTTTTTTTTTTAATTATATTTCATCTTTTGTTTTTTTAACAATTTAATTTTATTATGCACATTTATCAATTATATTAATGATGCTAAAACACAGTTGATATGTCTAGTGATTTAAACATCAACTGTGTTAATTTGAATTCTTTTGCAACTGTACTGGTAGGTTGGTTGACTGCTTGGTAATTCTTTTTTATATTAAATGTTGGTAATAGTCATGTTGAGTTTTATTGTTCATATAATCAATATTTTTACTTTAATTTGTGTTAATGTGTTTGGCAGATGTTCACGCAATTTGTTGCATAAAAAAATAGAAAAATAGACAGGGAGAAAAAAAAAAGTTTCTTTTCACTCTCATTCGGAACAAGAAAGAAAGTACAAATGATTTTTTTTTTTATTCCTTGTATTTTAATTTATATGTAATTTTAATTTTTATAATTTTAATCGTTTATCTTTAGTTTTTATTTTTTTAAAGTTTTTTATCCTAAAATTTTATCTAATAATTTAAAATAAATATGATATACAATTAATATGTAATGTAAGATTTGAGATGAAAAGATAAATAAATAAATAAATAAATAAATAAAAATAATAATGTTTTTAAATTTTGTTTATTTTACTAATTATTGGGCTTACGGCTTAAAAATAACATAATCAATTACAAGGTCTAGAAAAGTCAATGTCTGGTACATTTTGTCTAAGATGGAGCAATAAAGGAGAATGGACAACAAAAAAAAATTTATAATTTCTAAACTCTATATTAATCAAATAGCTAACGCATTTGTATAATGATTAGTTTCACGAAAGATATTAATACAACAAGTATAGTTCATACTTTGGAGCAATGACCTAATTACAAGCACCACATAGGAAGAACAATTATCATTAACTTTATTATCTAAAATTAATTTTAGAGTCTTCTTAAAATTACATTCTAAAGTAATATTTATCAAGTCATTAACTTTAATTAAATACAATCCAAATATAATAATTCATAACTCTGCTTTAAAAGGAGAACACACTCCCATTTTACACATATAACTAACAACAAAATTTCTATTTGCTTCACGAATAAGGCCCCTTGCAAGCATGCCCATTAACATTAAACCATCAACATTCAATATCAATGTTCCCTACGTAAAAGGAGACCACTTCATAGAGACAAAATCATATATCATATTAAAAAAAAAAAGTGTCATGATCCCTAAAACAAAACCAAATGTGAGTCATTTGATAAAATTTGAGACACAAGACAATGAGGAGAAATCAATTTTAGGTTAAAAATAAATGAGTTCCTGTCAATCTAAATTTTTCATGCCATTATTCTAAAAATTAATTTCAAGTTGACTCGTTATTAGTTGATTTTTAGGTCAAATTAGAGTTTCACCAATTACTTAGATCAAAGTTGCACCAATTTGATCTTATTATTAGCTTGAGATATTAATTGATTCCAAATTAAAAATGTATAATCACAATCTCTTAATATATACATTATAGTTTTAGGAGTTAAATGACATATAGAACACAAAACATAAGTTGAAATATCTTTATGAACATATTCATCATTTGTTAATAAGTTCTAGTGGACAATTTTGCACAAAAATAGTTTAATTTTTTGTGTACCAGGTCATTTTCAAACTTGCTTAAAAATATTCACCACTTGATTAGTAGGACATTGTTTCTTAGATAACATAGAATAAGTATATTTAATAGAAAACTCTTTATTCATAGTTATAGACCAAATAAGTAAAGCATATTCAAGTCTAAAATTAGGAAGAACTATAGTGGTTATAAGACTACAAATAAAAGAAGACAATATAGACTTAATTTTGTTCCAATTCTACCTTATAAAAGATAAACAAACTCACTGGACACTTATAAAAGATAAACAAACCCACTGGACAATCTAACTCTAACCTAGAAGGGGTACAAATACTATAAGCACTAAAATTTCTAAAACTAGGCACCCAACTATCTATCTAGAATTTAGTATATAATCTAACTCTAATTTTTCAGTTCAAACATTTATAGAATTTAGACGATATTTGAATCATAGCTTCCAAGTATTAGGTGTCTTATGATTTGTTCTCACAATTAAATGGCTTACTAAGATATAATCTATATTTTGTCCTTAGAGTTTGAGCTCATAAATCATCTAGAGAGTTAATAAATCTCCAATATAAATTCATAATGTAAGCAAAGTTAAGTGTATAAATATCCCTAAACCTTCACATTTCTTCTTAATTAAATGACATTTCTTAGACTAAAAAATCCTCAAATGAATTGTCTACAAATCTTATTGATATCATGATAAACAAATAACAAAATAAGATGGGTTTAAAGAAAATAGATAAAAATACTGGTCAAATTAGATTTAGACAAGAATAACTCTATCAGTCATAGATAGAGATTTTGCTTCTTCCTAATTTTATCAATCATATTAGCATAGGCATTTGTATTAGGTCTATTAGTAAAGATAGGAATACCAAAATAAGAGTCAAAATTTTTAATATGTTTTATACTTAGAACATCACAAATTTAGTCAAGCAAACTAGAATCCACATTATTAAAAAATAAAACACTAAATTTTTTTATGTTTACTTGTCCAAAGGTAGCACATAAATTATTTAAGACTTAATTCATGATAAGGGCATATTCAAAGAAGGCTTTAGAATTTAGAAATTAAAATAATGTCATCTATAAAAAATATATGAGAAATCTTAGGATTACATCTTTTAAATATAAAAAAGAATTCATTCTCACATATCAACCTTATCCCTTATACAGTGAGTTGGTCTCTCAATATATAAAAAAAAAGATTAAAAAAAATATAGGATCTTTATGCTTAATTTCTCTCGAAGGAGAAAAAACTTAATGAATTCCATTCTAATTAACAGACATTAAAAAAGAAGAAATACACTAGTAGATAAGGTCTATAAAATTACAACTAAAACTAGCTAAATAAAAAGTCTCTTTAACAAAATTACAATTTAACATATCATAAGTTTTCTCTAAATTAAGTTTTAATATAAAAAATTCAACTTGTCTCCTAAGGTTCTTAAAATAAATAAATAATTTTTTGCAAGGTAATTTTTACATACAATTTATCTTTAACTTTTTAAATTGTTAGAAAATTTGACTTAATAAGCATCATCAAGTTGGACTTTACAGTTTCTCTTAATTTTTTAAAATAATTAAAATCTTGATATATGATACAACATCAAGTTAGACTTTGAAAAATTAAAATTGTCTTAAGCAAGGGTCCCAAAAAATCCGGTTTCATATGTAAAGCACGGAACTCGCCCAGCTAGTTTAAAAAGTTAGAAGTCAGTGCAGTGCTTAGTCAGTGGATAATTTGTATCTGCATCTTTCTTTTTTTATTATTATTATTATTATTATTATACCACTTTTTATATCTTCCGAAAATAAAATTCTAAAATATATTAATCATCTTTGAAAATTAATTAAAAATATTTTACAAAATTAAATTTTAAAAAATGGTGTAAAAGGAAATGACCTAGTTAGTGTTGTGTTGCTGGCTTTGGTTTATAACAAAAGAAAACAAAAGTCAGCTTATTTTTATTTGTGAATATTCATTGACCATACGTTTCTCTTTTTTGTTTAATCTTTTAACAAAATAATTAATTTATATACTTAATTTATTTTAACAATTAAACAAATTATTTCATAATTTTCATTAAATAATACGTATATGCATGTGTATTAATATGACAGTTATGTCTTTTAAGATATTCAGTCAAAGAAAAAAAAATTAAAAATAGTTTTTTATAGTAGGCCTAAATGTCACATAGTAACAAACATGATCATGGAGTATTTGTTCGGTCAAAAAGGAAAAGTAAAAGTAAAAGTAAAAGTTCAATTTCTAATGCCCAAACATGAGATCATAGGAATGTATTTCATCGTGTCCTACTAAACATATATGGCAAGCATATTCCATCAAACATAAAATGGGTTAGGGAACACGTATCCTTTCATCTTATTATTCATTTTCTTTTTAATAAAGGAACCTCCAAAAAACTGAAAAAACGCAGGCCAATTCATGCTATGTTACATAACAGAACATTTATATCTTGAACAAAATATTAATTATATACAATAAATACAAAATTAAATATCTTAAAATAAAAATTAATGACAAATATATTTTGTTAAAATTATCTTCTATTATTTTAAAATTTTGATTGTTTATTCTCACAGTCTAATTAAATCAATATGAAGTGTTAAAAAAATTTTTGAATAAAAAATAAAATAAAGCTGCTAATAAAACTCATTTACCTTAAAATCCTTTTGAGTTTACAAATTCTATTACCTTACTTTTTTAATTTAGCCCCACGTTAGAATATAATAAAACGAACAAAGAAATATATATTTATAAAAATTTAGTTTTTTTTTTCTATGGGATAATCTCGTTTTCCTCGTACGGAAGTACTTAATTATTTTAAAATAAAAAGTTACACACTGGCTTAGATTAAGAAAATCGAAAAAAAGAAAACAAACATGACAACTTTTAATGTATTTGATTGATTAATAAAAATGAAAGATTAGTCTATACAAAATTGTTTATTCTGAATTGGGTTTTGAAAAATTATTCTGAGACAAAATAAAAGAAAAAAATAAACCATACGAAAAAAGTTGAAATATATGTTGCTCAATAAATAAAGGGATAACTTCTTATCACGCCCACAACACTGTTCAAAAGTTAAAAAAATAAAATTGTCAATTTAGTTAAAGCTCATCAATACCAAGAGAAAATAATTAGTAGTTTTAATAGAGCTTGTACCAATTGCAAACCCTCCATCCACTTTCATAATCACTTGCTTGTGTTATTTGTCCACCATCAAACACTAGTAGACATGACAAAATTATTGTACCTTAACTTCCTGTGTTCTATTGTTCTG